TCTATCCATACATATAAATTTTAAATATATTAAAATTATAAGGCATCTTTGAGTAAACTGCGAGTATTATTTAAGTAGGCTATGTCGTGGCTGGCCGAGTGTCCTCTTTTTTTGGAAATCAAAATATGGTCACCCTATTCAAATGTGAAGCAGCAAAATAAGGAAATGTTGAGTTTTTTCTTTTTTTTTAAAGATATTTTTTGGGGCATTTTAGCCTTTAATTGATAGGACAGACAAGCGTGAAAGGGGGAGAGAGAGAGAGAGAGAGAGATGATATACAGCAAAGGGCCACAGGCTGGAGTCGAACCCGGGCCACTGCGGCAACAGCCTTGTACATGGGGCGTGTGCTCTAACCACTAAGCCACCGATGCCCCGAAATGTTGAGTTTTCAAGCAGAAACTTTAGAAAACTTCTAATACAACGGATAGTGAACATGAAACAATAAAATAAAGATATCTGAAGTTAAAACAGGACGCAGGAGAGATATACTCCAAACCTCACCATTCAGTGAGAAGCTACAAAAGTACTGAGAGCTGAACACACAGAGACTTTTAAAAATGTCTTTCTCTCTGATCTCTGGCAGACAGAGGTGGGTAGAGTCTCACAACACACACGGCTTGTTTGAGGGGATGAAACCCTGCTGCGGTTGGCGAGACCCCACCGCTACCCACTTGAGTGTGGCCCGGCATTTGGACCTACACCGGAGAAGAAATTGGTGCGCAGCTCGGTGTTGCACCACGCCTCTAAGCTGGTAACAGAAACACAAATCAACTCTTGACTGGACGTGGCTAAAAGTTACAGAGGAAAAGGCCCACAGTATTGCTCCTGTGGTAACTTCATCCATCTCACAGACTGATTAAGCGCAGCTTGTGTCACACTGTAGACTAATTAAAAGATAGATTAAACAGAGGACCAGTTCTGTATCTCTCTGAGTGTTGATGGAGAAACTGTGAGTGAGTGAGCGGGGCGGAGCTATGCGGAGAGTAGGTCTATGAAAGGAAAGATGTACATTGGTGTGGCGCAACTTGACCCTATATCGATATAAATGGTATTGTCTAGATCTATATCTTGCTTGAAAATATATCAATATATTGTAATAAATTGATATACCGCCCAGCCCTACTTTTGTTATTTCAGACACTTTGGTGATGTGAGGAAAAGCTCCGCTTTTTGTCTGCCTCTCTCACTGTGGCGTCAATCTGCTCTGATCGATTGATCAGCCATTTCATCAGTGATCATTTCAGTGATTACACATATTTGTTTTTCCTCTGCTTGAAAAAAGGGATATGTGGCGCGCAATAGGGCTGTCAAAAAAATTCTAACTAGGAAATATATTCGAATGTATATATTTTTTATAAGTTCCGGCCTAAATTTGATAATTCAAATATCATTAATAATAAATTAATACTATTAATAATGTTGAATATCACGGCAAATCCCTTTCGGGCGGAGATGGCTCGCGCACAAGCCGGGCCAGCGAGGAACGCAGCGACGGAGGGAGAGGCGCCGACAGAGGAGTCCGCTGTTCCAACACCACCCACTGCACTGTCCACGATGTGTGACCTGTTCGGGGAGACATACAGGGAGAGTGGTGCACCTGCTGCCTCCCTGCCTACCCTTTTTGAAGAAGAGATGAAACGTTACCAGAATGAGACACCACTACGAGCCGACCAGGATCCACTCTTGTGGTGGAAAACTATGCACTGAAGTATCCAAACATTGCTCAGATAGCAAGGCAGAAGTTGGTCATACCTGGCATTTCAGTGAGGTCAGAACGGGTGTTTTCATCCGAGTGTCACGTTCATATTTCGCCAGCAATAAGCATTTTATTTTTTGTGGGTTTTTTTTGTAAAATTAAAAAAAAAAATAATAATAAATTCGAATATTATTCGAACTCTACTAAATTAATTCGAAAATATTCTAACTCAATTTCATGGTGCTTTTGACAGCCCTAATGTGCAACATGTGAAAAATGTTAAATACATAAGCCAACCCTCACAGCCAGTGTCTGAGAGTTGGCAGCCCTGATGTGATAAGATTGTTCAGCTCTGTTGCTGTTGCAATTTTTGGTGTTTGATGTGTGAGAGTTGGCAACCCTGTGTCAGGATAATATCATTTTGCAGTTGCAAAGACCTGCAATTGACACATTTTTCCTCCTTCCATCCAAAACAATGTTTTTGCAAGATCACAGTGCTGGATCTGTTTCAGGACCATCACTGTCATGTTGACCCTGGATAATTTGTATATGTTGATCTTGGACCATACCTGCCATGTTGAAGTTGACATAAACACATTATCCAGAATTAATGTGGCCATGATCAACATAGACTGACCTGAATCAACATTAACAAATTATCCAGGGCCAACATGACCTTGTGGTCCCAGATCAACATAAGCACTCCAATCTTGCAAAAATAAAATAAAAGATATAAAAAAGGAGGGAAAATGTGTTAACCGTAGGTATTTTCTACTGAAAAATGATTATTTCCTCAATCTTTGTTAGTTACCAATAATCTAGCCTATTGGCAAGCTTACTTGTTAGCACAGCCTATCACCTTAGAAAGGTAGCTTACCTGCAGTGGACCACCATGGGCCCAGCCTCTGGAGGATTACAGGCCTTGACTCTGCATAGAAAGGCGAGTGTTGGGGTGGGATACTCAGGCACTCCATGGTCAGGCCAGGCCATAAACTGGAACTGTCGAACCTCTCTCTTCTCACTTGAGCCACTCTGTTAGAACACATACACACAATAACATCTTTAGTAATTCATAAAAAATGTGATTTGGCATGCTAAAAATTCTATGATTTGATCATGTAATAATAACAACTGTATTTATTTAGTACCTTTCAAAATAACAATTACAAATGCTTCACATAAACATAACGGTAAACATTAAAATACAAATTCAAAGTCAGCAAAGAAAAGTGTCCATACAAAAACAGGTGACACAGAAAAGAGATAAAAAATGATATAGAAAAAATAATTAGGAAAAGGTAAGAAACACGGTAGAAGTGAGTTTTGAGAGACAATTTAAAAGAGGGCAGTGAATTCTCTGGTCAAAGTACCTAAAGTAAGCTGTTCCACAGGGTTGGAGCCTTAACAGCAAATGGCCTGTCACCCTTAGTCTTCAGCCTAAACTGGGGAATAGCTTATCAAAGGACCTCAGGTTACGAGACTGTGAGTAATGATTCAGAAGCTTGGTTATGTAGTTCAGTGCCATAAAATGCTTAAAAGTCAAGACTAAAATTTTAAATCAAATAAATTAATTCTACACTGATCAGGTGAAACCAGTGATGAGAAGCTTAAACAGGGGAGATATGATCATGCTTAGGTGATTTTGTTTAAAGCCTGGCAGCTACGTTTTCTTAAACCCTGAAGTCATTCAGTCATGCTTTGGTTATAACCAAAGGAGACCTGTCTCCTCAGTTGTAAAACGCTCACTCTTTCCAGTTGGTAGGTCCGCCATCTAACTATCTCTCCGCCATGCGCTCCAATCGCGCCTCTCTTAAAGGGAATGAGAGGTGACACTCTGATTGGCTTATTGAATGATACGCCCAAAACACACCCATGACTAATTGACAGAGTAAGTCCAACCCTTTTAGACTCTCCGCCATAGCGCACAGTCTAAAAATGCGCTGTCTAACTAGCAAGTGACTGGGACACACCCATGTGCTGCACGCCTGACGCTTTGCGTTTTAGACCATCTAAATAGGGCCCTCTCTCTCTCTTACCCTCCATCCAATCCCCTCGCGTGACACTCCTCTGCTCCTCTTCCCACCTCGTCCCAACCCCTCTCCGCATTTGAAAGTACGAGCAGTTTGTAAGGCCCTGAGCGATTCAGCTATACGAGTTTTGATAGGGAAAATAAAGAGAGCGACAGCAGCAAGCAGCCTCTGCTTGCCCCACCGGCAAAGGCCGAAAGGAAGCGTAAGTCTGCCTCTGAAAAGGTAGAAACGAAGAGGATATGAGACAAATTGAGGGCTCAAAGCCGAGTAAACATCAGGTCATCCTTTGACCGATAGAGAAAGCTGCTGCAAGATCTGGGCCTGAAAAGTGATGCTGATACAGCGGAGTTTTTATTGAACGGGTAATATTTCATTTTTATTGTGGATGTTGTGTCATAGATAGCTGTATGCCAATGCTGGCTTTTGACTGTGAAGGCTGCCGTTAGTTTTTTGCGTGGTTAGACAGCGTTGAAACATTTTTTGTCTGCAATATTGTCAACACTTGTTTACTTGTTCGACAGAGACGTTAGCCTAATTTTTAGCATTGTAAGCTAAAATTGCTATCATGTTTAAACATTGTCACATCAGCCTGTTTATTTGCTTGATACTGTTAAACTATGTTGTCATTATGAAAGTAAATAACATTATCATTGATGTCCATCTACAAGTTTTTGAGGGTCAAAAGACTAACATATGCTGCCGTCTTTACAATGTAAGCTAAGCTAAGCTAAAATAGCTATCATGTTTACACTTGTTTATTTGTTTGACGGAGATGTTAGCCTTTGTGTTAGCATTGTAAGCTAAAATTGCTATCATGTTTACATAGTGTGTCAAATCTGCGTATTTATTTGCTCGTGGCTGCTAAACGTAGTCCTTATGCAAAAAAAACCCTATCAAACGGTGGCAATCTTCGAAGTATCAGGCTCACATTTATTGTGCTTACAATCAATATATTGATGTGCGTTACAGCACATCAATACGCTACGTTACGGTAGCATCGGTTACCCTCTTTGCCCTCAATAACTTTTAGAAGTGGCTAAGATAAGTGAATAATTTCGGTGTGTAATGTTACAGAAACGTTATAGTTATTGTCAGCAAGTAATGACTGTATGTTCGTTGCTTCGTTTTGTGGTTCAAGAAGAGTGATTTTCTGTTCATGTTTCTTTCAGCTATGAAAAAAGTCCTATATCTTCAACGCCAATGAAGACAGGATTTCAGGGACCGCTGGCTCCTCCAGCCTCCAGACCATTTTTTCTGAGTCAGATTCTGACTGGTAAGTACAAAATAACGGGCATGTAAATATGTTACTCAAAAGTCACATTATTAGCACAAAACGTGCTTTGTAGTTGCATCATGGTGTTAATATTATTTTGGTGTGTATATGGTGACTTGATGTCATTTACATAACAGTGATGGGCAGTGAGGGGATTTTTAAATGGATGAATTGATTATCCTTTGCAAAGTAGAATTTATTTATTTTATATAAAAGGTATACAGACTCCACTGAAGCCACAGGAGACTCACACAAATGCCAGGGTTCAAAAAAGTGATATCACCTCTTTTGTTTCTTTGTGAGGTTGAAGGTAGAAAGTTGTCAACTTTTTGGATGTTGTGAGTCATGTTACTTGTTAGGGTTGTGAATAAATGTAAATTACCTCTTTTGTGGTTGTGAGAAGTGGGGGTTTCAGTGGTGACCTGTGAATGCTCACACTTATTGGCCTGTTAGGCTGTGGATAAATATAAATTACCTCTTTTGTGTTTTTGAGACGCCAGGGCACCAAGGTGTCTGCTTTTGGCTTTTCACACCTGGGCCTCCTGGCTGGAGGTTGAGAGGTTTTAAAAACTTTTTTGGGTGTTTGCAAAGAGGGTCAACCTCCAAGTTTGGTGTTGGGGAAGTATGTCAATTTTTTTAAATGTCCTTTTGAATTTGCAGTGGTAAATGTCCTTCACTGATTTAGCAAAATAAAAAAAATTCAATTAATAATTTATATTTCATATTTCAGTGGTGCTGACTTCTCAGAGAAAGGTGTTCACGATTTGGCTGTCATCAGTCCCAAGGACACATTTTTGATGGAGTTGGATGCGAGGTATGCATGAATGTAACTAAATCTGTTGCAATAACTGACTGTGTTGAAGATACCTTACCAAATATACAGTATCATAAAGAGACATTTGTGTTCTTGCGCATACCTTACATATTTATTTTTCATTTACTTCACTGTTGTGCCCCAGCATCCATCTGTGGATACTGATGAAAATCAATTCAATGATATCCATAATTCCATGTAAGCACCTTTGTTAGGTTTAGAAATCATTTGCATGTCATTGTAACTTTACTTAGTTTCACAGACATTTATGTTGTCACCATTTCTCTCTGGCTTTTACAGAATAGACTGGGACAGTGATGATGAAACCTGGACTCCTGAGATGGCAGACAGTTATTTTCAGCATCAGAGGAAAAGAATTCTGGAGAGGTTGATGAAGATGAAGATGAAGACGAAGATGAAGACGATCCAGACTATAGGCCACCCATTCGTGTGAAGTATGTGTTAAAAATTCTTTTTATACACTTCAATAGAGGTTTTGGTTGAAATTATAAAACCAGTAACCACTGTTGTTCTTCTGACAGGACCGGTGGCACTCTGAAGTCAAAATTTTCACTAGACACACTTTAGATAGTTTCCATGGAAGACAAAGTCCATGACGAACCAGACAATGACTCTGCTACTCCGCAGATAGACTTGCCAAACTTTGCAGATTCCCCAAAAGTTGTGGTCGTAGATGATATACTGGGAAAACCAGCAAGCATAGCATACCATGACAGCCTTAAACAGCTTGCACAAACTCTGCATCTGCCTGTCAGTGTGTGTCCTCATAAGGAGACTCACAAGGAGGAGTGGAGTGCAAGGCACCAGGACCCTTTCAAATCGACATCAAGTGCAGAGGAACGGCAGCTGTGATGGAGTGTGTGAGTCTGTTTCTATTGTAGATGTTACCTACTCAGCTTATAATTTACAATATAGTATGAGGTGTAAAATCTGCAAGTGTGTCTGATGAATTTTATCATCAATAGGCAAAAGTTCTTATTAAAAGAACAGTGACAGTTTTACCAGAGGTATAGGTAAATAATTCATGTTGCCGTTTATGATTTTTTAAATTATTTTATTCCCCCTTTTTCTCAGATATATCCTCACGGTCACATTGTGTGGAAATGGGCATCTCAGCCCCAGTCTAAATATGGGATGCTGGCTGGGGACTACATGCTCTCCATGAACATACTTCTGTCTGGAAATAATTACCGGAAAATTTCACTTCTATTCAACTTCATGAATTTGGGGATGGTGGACAGGTCCAGCTTCTATCGGATCCAAGATGCTTACTGTGTTGACACAGTAAAGGATTTTTGGAACGAGAAGAGGGCTGCCATCATCGCCCAGCTTCAGTCCAAGGGATCGGTTGTGGTCTTGGGTGAGTTTCTTGAAAAAAATGCATTTATACAGTGGGACATAGAAACATGTACACACACTCACAAACACATCACTGTTTGTACATCATGACTAACACAAATAAATGTAAGTTGAGCCAAACACATAAAAACTCTATTCTTACTGTGCACATTGGAAGGTGACAGACGACACTGTCCAGGGCCAGTTGTGATGCTTTAAAAAGTATCACAACTGGCCCTGGACAGTGTCGTCTGTCACCTTCTTTCAGCTGGATGGCAGATGCTTGAAATTGAAAAGTTCTCAGAAAGATTCTTTGCCGTGTTTTACAGTACAGTAGTAATTTAATTTAATTTAATTTAATTTTAATTTAATTTAATTTTTTTTATATACTTCATTAATCCCCGAGGGGAAATTCAATTTTTCACTCTGTTTGTCAATTACACACAGGTCCAAACACACACATGCACAAACTGGACCTATACATGCACAAAGTGGAGAGATGTCAGAGTGGGCTGCCCATGACAGGCGCTCCGAGCGGTTGGGGGGTTCAGTGCCT